AGTTTTGGTTCTTCAAGGATTGTGAGATCTAAATAATTTTCATTGTTCCTTTACTTCTTTGCTATTTATATATCTTTTGTTTTTATTAAGAATTATTGTCTTGATTGATTGTGCAAAGGGACCGTTGTTCAATTATTAGATTGATAAATTACCATTTAGAACTTTAAATCCATAATTATTTATACGTTCTAATATTAGTGGTAAAGTAACATAACTGATTTTGATTATGTTATGAAATATTTAACCTAGTCTAAATGAATAGAGCTTGTGTATTCGTTGGCTAGAATTGGTGGACCCTCTAGTTGTTAATGCTGTTGGTGGATTAAATCTTAAGAGCTTGTCTAGGGTTGTTCATTAACAAGGGAAATAATCAAAGAGCTTCTCTTGATTATCGAGAAACTAAGGAGAGACTGTTGTTAGAGTTTCTCAATAACCATAACCAATTTAGTGAAAAGTAGAAGATTTTGTCATTGCATCTATGATCAATTCTCTTAACCAATTATACCTTTAGTTGGATATTTGCTTGAATTGATTTCTCTAAATTCTTAGTTGATTATAATTGCTTTTTCTTTTTTTTTTCTCAATTTCAAAACCCCCTTTATTTGCTTTAATTTTCATTAAAATAAGTCTACCCAATCTAAGTGGATTCGACCTTGCTTATCGCTACTACAATTTATATTTCTCAAAGCAAGTATTATTATTTGTTGGATTCGACACCCACCACTTCCTTTGGATAACTTCAGTTTCTGATGTATTACAGAATGTCATGGTACCAAGGCTTAATGTCCTTTACTTTTCGATTTGGTAAGAATGAGTCGGGTACTCATACGACTGCATGTCAATTGGCATCATGTCAGACTCCCAACTGGCCTTTCGAAATGTCTTTCGAGAAGGTTGAGGAGTTGCATGGATGATGTTATTAGTGATTCACAATTTGCCTTCGTTCTCGGTCGACAAATCTTGGACTGCTTCTCTATAGCTAATGAAGGAATAGATTTTTGGAGAAAAAATGGTTTGAAGGGCTGCGTTTTTAAGGTTAATTTTAGGAAGGCTTATGATACAGTGGATTGGGATATTCTTTTCAAAGTAATGGATAAAATGGGTTTTGGAGAAAAATGGTGCAGTTGGATAAGAAGATGTGTGACTACAGCCTCAGTGTCAGTTTTGGTTAATGGTGTGCCTACAGAGGAATTTCCAATGACTAGAGGACTTAGACATGGCTGCTTCCTTTCCCCACTGTTGTTTAATTTAATAGTAGAGCTTCTTAATCTAATACTCCATAAGGTTGTCTCTTTGGGGCTGTTCAGTGGTTTGGTTGTAGGTAAAGACGACGGTTCTTATATGTTATCTCATCTTCAATTTACAGACGACCTAATAATTTTCTGCAATGCATCCAAGACATAAATTTTAAACATAAAGAGAGTTCTAAGAGTTTTTTTAAGTTATGTCCAGTTTACAGCTTAATCTCAACAAAAGCAAGATATTTGGAATCAACATTGGTGAGGAAAAGATTAAGGAGTGGGCAGGTGATCTTGGGTATGCAATGGGTACTCTCTCGTCTGATTATTTAGGTCTGCCACTTGGAGCAAACAAAATTTTTTCTTCTTTGTGGGATCCGGTAGTTCAAATTTTTTTTAACAAGTTGTCCGGTTGGAAGGCAAGAACACTCTCTTTGGCAGGGAGATTGGTAATGTTGAAATCGGTATTGTGCTCTCTACCTACTTACTTTCTGTCTATGTTTAAAATTCCAGCAGCAGTGAACTCGAAGTTAAATTCCATTATGGCTAATTTTTTATGGGGAGGCGTTGTAGAGTCTAAGAAAATACACTGGATAAACTGGTCTACAGTGTGTAAACCAAAAGGCTATGGTGGTCTGGGTGTGCTGAACATTAATTTTATGAATAGGGCATTATTAGAGAAATGGTTTTGGAAGTTTGCTAATGGTAGGGATTCAATTTGGAAAGAAGATGATTTGTTCCAAATACAATCTGAACACTAATCTGATTTTTTTTAGTAGCAAGTTACCAAACAATGCTTATTGGTTGTGGAAATCGGTGGTTAATAATCACTATAAAGATGATCAGTTTGGTGAGAAGGTTCAAAGCATGTTTCAAATTAAAGTGGGTAATGGGATGAGCATCAGGTTTTGGTTCGATATTTGGGCTCTAGATCATCCTTTGAAGACTGATTTTTCGAGAATTTTTGCTTTTTCTTTGAATCAATTTGGGACGTTAAATGAGTTTGGTGAGTTTAAATATTCAGGGTGGTTTTGGTATGTGCAGTTGAGAAGAAACCTATGTGATTGGGAGCTGGAACAGTTTTCAAATTTTCTAACCATCATTCATAATTATAGTCTATTCCAAGAGTCCAAAGATGGCTTGATTTGGAGAGGGAACGGGAATGTATTTTTTTCTGTCAACTCTTGTTTGAAGACCTGTTTAATTGAACCGACAGAAGATAAATTTTGGGAAAGTTGTATTTGGAGGGGGCTGGTCCCTCTAAAAGTAGAAATTTTTATGTGGCAATTAGCACATCAAAGATTGGCGGTAAAGTTAGAATTACAGAAAAGAGGGGTTTCGGGATTGTTGATATTTCTCGTCCTATGTGCAAAAAAGACAGATCAAATTCAATTCAAGAAGGCACATTTCCCTATGCCTAACACGGAGAATAAATCCTCACGAAGACAAAGCATATGAACCCCAGAAGGTACTTGCTAGGTTTGACACGAAGAATAAATTCTCACGAAGACGTTGCTTTCACTCTCACTTAAAGGGAAAAGAGCTCGAGTATAGAGCTTATGTTTATGCAATGCACGTGTTGTGTGTGAGGAAAAATCCTCAAACCTTTAACAAACAACCACACAAAAAATAAATTAAAGCGAATCTAAAATTTTAACATATGAAAATCAATCATATACAACCATCAGTATACAAGGATATAGAATAAAAAATTGAAAGAAATCAAAAGAATCGTAAATTAAATAAAACAAAATTCTTAATTTCCAACTTAGAGACAATATATAATCGATTTAGGGCTTGACCAGCAAAGTCTCCAGTGGAGTTGCCAAGTTGTCGTAACCGATTTTTGGCGACACGACGTTTCTTGGCGAGTAAATAAATAAATAGTTTTCAATAAAAAAATGGAGTCGCCATCGACCTTTTTGGGTTAGGTAGGTCAAATACCTAAAAATTGTCTTTCCAAAGTTTTTTTTTAAGAAAACAACATTTTAAAAGATAATCTAGTCTACGTGTAACCAGAAATTTATTCCTTCTTAGCAATAAAAAAGGATTCATGGTCGATTACGCGTAGGGAATGATAAGGACCCCACAATGCCCAAAATTGGCACCCCGTCGATTATAAATTGTCTGTAGTAGTGGAAATCTAAGAATTCAAATATAAATTTAAGTTATAATTTTATTATTCCAAATTCAATCACATAATTTTATTTAACGAAAAATTCTAAGCAGAAATAGAAAATATTCTAATATTTCCAATTGAAGAGAATAATCCCTAAAATACTTTAGGATGAATATTTCTTTTCCAACTGAAGTGAAAATAATATAATATTTCCCCAAGAATTCGAGATTAAAATAATTTGATTCGACCAAAATAAGAATTTAAGCCAATTTATCCAAATTATATTAATCATGCTAGATGATGAAAGTTAAACTAGAATGGCAAAAATATAAACACAATAGAAAGCAAAGACCAAAAAATGGATATCACACAAATATAAGTGCTTAAATAAAATAAAATCATAAATAACATAAGGATCAAAATGCAATATAACAAAATAAGATCTTCTCTTTTCCCAATGTTCCTTTGATGTTGATCTTTGGAAATCTTTCTTAAATCTGAATGGTATGATTTTTACTTCCCTCACTTGGGAAGCAATGGTCTCTCGGGCATGCACAACTTGGAAAGGGAATTCCCTAATCACCACCATCTTGAAGATTTCTTGGAACACGTTTATCTGCTCAATCTGGCAGGAAAGAAATCATCGAATTTTTTAGGGTCGATTTAGATCGATCGATATTTTGCTTAAAGATATTATTGAAGTTGTTAGTATTAGACTTAGGGGTAAAGCTATTAATAGACTTGATAGTACTAATTATTACCTTTGTAATGCTTGGGGTATAGTCTAACCAATCTTTGGTTCTTTTTGTAATTAGGCTGATTAGTTTCTTTTATTGATTGGTTGATTGGTTTTAGCAAAACATTTGCTATTTTGGGTAATAAATTTCTGAATTATCCAAAAAAATAAGACATTCAATGTGATAAAAATATGGAACATACATATATACTCATGGGACTAAAATAAAATAAACAGAGAATAAAATGCACTAATTAAAAGACTAAAATTAAAGTATTAAAAAATGAATGGGAAAAAAATAAAAGACAGAAAATTAAAGTAATGAAATTAAACTAAATTAAAAGGCAAATCAAATAAATTATAGGCAATTAATTGACATAAGATGACCAAATTAAATCTAATTATAAAATGCATAGTTAAAATCAAAGAATAAGTATAATGACCTAATTAAAATAAAATCAAAATCTATAGTCCAAAATAAAGCTGTTAATTAAAGGATTAAAACATAATAAATACAAATATCATATCAAAATCATAACAAAGTAATAAAAACCCAATCAGTGACTGGAAATGAATAAATATAAAAATAGTGACTGATTTCAAATAAAAACCATGGCAGTATGATGACTAAATTAAAATAAAGTAAAACATAGTGGTCAAAATAAAAAATGGATCTAGTGACCATAATATGAAAGCACAGAGACTAGGGGGTTTAAATGCGATTTAATCCTAAAATGAGTGGCTAAAATGTAAAGATGCTGTTAACCTTGAAGACCTAAGAATGATTTACCCTAAAACTAGTGACTTGAGTGTAAAAATACGATTATGTTGAAGAGACTATATGGACATTAGCCCAAACAAATATATACACCCTAATATTAGCTGTTTCGGCCAGAACCAAATAAAACCTAAAAAAAGCCTCAACTTATCAACTCTCTCTCTCCATGCCCCGCGAACGGCGCTCACCATGGAGGCTAAAAGACTCTCGATCGTCGGCCACCGACCTAACGGTGGCTGTCCCCGCTCCGGTCGACCTTCCACCCGGCCAAAGGGGACTACACGACCTCCTAAGGAACCTCGAAAGCTTCTCCTCTCAGCATTGAACCCGAAACCCATGACTCACAACGACGATACCACCTCCTCCTACGGCGAGAAGACAGCGAGGTAAAACCACTCTTATCTTTTACGTTTTTTTATTAATATGCTATTTGATTTCGAAGAGAAAAAAAATAAAATGAAAAATAAAGCTGAAAATAAACGAAAAACCAAATGGAAGAGAACATTTGCTGTGTTTTTATTTCCAATTCTCTTTGTATCCTCTGTCCTTTTTACACTGTAATTTTTATGGGTTATATATTAACCCATTTACATGCTTAAAAAAATGATGATTGTTGTTTGTTTGGTGGTGAGCTGGAGCCGGGACGTGGAGGGACAGCTGGTGTTGCTGGAACGTTGAGCAAGGGAGACCATGGCTTGGTTGCCGGCGACGTGGAGCTGCTAGAGGCCACGGGTGGAGCTGGGCTGCTGGCAACTGCTGTGTGGAGCGGGGAACCAGCTGTTGTTGCTGGAAGCTGCTGGAACGTGGAGGTAAAAATGATTACAGGTTCTAATATATAAACAAACACGCGCGCATCACATTTCATATAAATTGTACATACAAAGAAAGAAATTAACTAATAAAAAATAAAGAAAGAAAGAAATCAGATACAAATATATAAAATGAATGAATGTATTGAGTAAATGAAATAAAACAATTAGGTTGATAACTGCTAAGTGAACTCATTCACTAATGGTGTTGGGCAAATTCTAGGTTTGGTTGGAGTCCTTCTGCCAAAGTCCACTTGAATCGCATGGGCAGAAAGCGATTTGATGGCAGTTTACTTTCTCCAAATATTCCAGCTTTGGGAATTGTATTTGAAGCTCTTTCCAGTTCATCTTTATACTAGCCAAGTACTTCAAACGTAAAATCTTCACTTTCCATTTCTTGTCAATTTGACCTAGGCTAGTCAGTGCTCCTCCTCTGATATAGAGACGCTCAAGGCATTCCAGAGTCTCGGGGACCAGCCATTGAGGGGGTTCTCTTCCTGGGTAACATTGGAGTTCTAACTTTATCAACTTCTTCATCTCCGGTTTTGATGACGGTGCGTCACTTGCCTGCTGCTTGGTATATTTGATTGCACTTGCCTGCTTCTGCTTCTTGGTATATTTGATTGCACATGCTCCCCATGCGCTTGCCTGCTTCTTGGTGTCTTTGATTGCATCTTTTTTCCCATCGACCTGGGATTTGTCGACACGAGCTCCTATCCATGCTATTTTCAGGTTCTGAAGGTTCTCAAACATGGAGAAAGTAGTAGCCTCTGGATGTAATAAGTCATAGTCGTTGACGTTGATGCTGAGCTTAACCAGGTGTTTCAGCTTCTTCAAGTCGTCGAGAGTGCAAGGGCTTTTTCTACTGATTACAAAACCCTCGAGGACTTTGAGATCTGAAAGCTGGGACAATTGCTTGGGGATGTTGTTCAGCAAAAAGCACTCGGATAAATCCAAATAAGCAAGTTTGTTGAGTGAACCGACCTCTCTCGGGAGTTTCTCCAAATTATGACAAGCTCTAAGATCTAAGACCCTCAGGTTCTGGAGTTTGGCAAGACACCCCCGGAGCTTGGAGATTCCGGAGATTCCTTGGAGACTAAGAAACCTTAGCTTGTTCATATTCTTCAACCCTCTTAGAAAATCCTTGTTCCCCACCTGTATATGGTGCTCGGCACTGCACATCCAGCTTCCCAAATAAAGCACTCGTATTTTTTTCATCTTTGAAAACAACTCTTCGGGCAGATTGAGGAACTGCTTACTCACATTGAACAACGTTTCTAGCTTTTCCAGATATGCTACTCTCTTCTTCTCTTCCTCCCCCTGCGCCTTCTTCTTCTCCCGTTTTACTCTCTTCTTCTCTCCAGCCTGCGCCTTCTTCTTCTCCAATTCTACACTCCTCTTCTCTTCTGCCTCCGCTGTCTGCTTCTGCTCCGCATTCGGATCAAACTCCTTTGGAAGTGGAAGCTTCTTAGACCACCAAGAAGGTCCTTGGGATTTGACCAGGCATATTTTCTTGCCTTTGAAGAAATTTTTGTCGGGGTATCCCTTGGGATAGAAACTAAAGAAGTTAGCCTCCTTAGCAAGCCTGATGACGAGACAACGGATAATGGGATGCATTCTATAGCTTGTAACCAGTGGCACGCTTTTCTTGGTAGCAGGCTCAATGAATCCCATCTCCACAAATTTTGGGAGAATTTAATTAACCGAAGGCTTTTCGTCTGGCTTTGTTGATGACGGTGACAACAACCTTTCCCCTTCCCACCAACACCGTAGAAGCCTCTTCTTCACCACGGCATTCTCTGGTAAAATGGCGAAACATAACAAGCACAGCTTGTGCCTCTCATCAAGACCGTTGCAATGCTCTTCAAACTCTTTCAGGAAAGTCTTGCTCTCAAATATTCCATAGGCTTCGTACGGACTAGGTAGCACCTCTGTTCAAGGATTTGTAAACGGAATATATAATTAACCTCGTGTCGCTATATACATATAAGAACTAATTAACTAAACATTTTAAAATAATTACAATCAATTTTTTTTTGAAAATAATTATTACAAAATCGTTAAAAACACGACTTTCATGAGATAAAATTAAATAAAATCATAATTATTTTGAAAAATAAAATTAAAATACATGTTTATAATGAATTATACAAAATGCAAATTAAATTAAGACATCATATTAAATAGGGTAAAGTATACAAATGATTTTTTGACTATAGGATGATACTTTATTAAGTGTTTCAATTATTAAAAATTATAAAATGATTTTTTGTCGGTAGGATGTATTTTTGAATCCATCAACTATTAAAGTTACAAAAGCTCACTCGACTATTTCATATGTTCTAAACTCGTCATTTTTAGTTAAAAAATTTACAGTAATCTGAGTTGGATATTAACATATTGATTAATGATATGAGTTGTTTGAGATTCTGAGATTAAATTTTATCATCTCTCAGTTAGCAGATTAACGTCAACTCAAATTGTCATCAATTTTTTAATAAAAAAGGACAATTTGGAATATATGTAATCGGCGGGCGATTGTTTTGTGATTTTTAATAGTTGGAAGATTCAACAAAGCAGTATCCTATAATCAAAGGATTATTTTATAGTCTTTAATAGTCGAGAGATTGAACAAAGCAACATCTTATGGTCAAAGGACCGTTTATAACTTTTAATGTCGTGTGACTCAATAAAATATTGTCCTATAATCAAGGGACCATTTGTATATTTTATTCATTAAAATAATATAAAAATAATTAACGAACGACATGATATGAAAATATGACACTAAGAGAATATAAATACACAAACAGGTCAAAATTTAATTATTACCATTTGAAAATCATATAAATTTATAATATTTTAAGCACATAAGAGAATACGAGCATAATATGTATATATGCTATTTAAATTAAAAAAAATAAAATTATGAGATGAATTGAGATATAACATGACATACACACAAAATGCTATTCTCTAAATTGAATTCTTACACGTATGAATATGACTCGAGTTTGATTTGATTTGAAATAAAAATTTGATTTAAATCAAATTTAAAAAATGAATATAAATCTGAAAAAAGATTTGAGTCCTAATAGGTGACAATTTATATATGAATCATGTCGGAATTTAACTCTAATTCGATTTAAATTCATATTTAATCTTAATTCGATCCATATCATGTCTGAATCATATAAGCCTCATGTTTTGAAAGCAACATTTAAAACTTTTAAGCCTTAAAAAAAAGCATAGGGCCAAAGGTTCAAATGATCCGTTTAAATATGTGAAATGTTCTCATTTATATCGGTATATGTATGTCATATTTAAACGGTATAAGTATATGTATGTAAAATATGTAAAACGTTGACGTTTAAATTGAAAAATATTAGACACCTACTTTGATAAAAAAAAACAACTTTAAATACCTAAAATAATTAAAAATTGACACTTATTTTTCAGTTAAACCTTAAAAAAAGAAGAGAGAAAACTAATTGAATTTAGGACTTCCAAATCTTGAATATTCTATTTGGATTGGACTCAAATTTTGTGTATTCAAACTTAAAGTCAGACTTGGATCGGTCTGAAGATCCGATTATTAATTGGATCAGACTTGGACTTTACAGAGTCCAATCCAAAATTGATTCATTATAATCCCTAATTATCATAGACTATTCAGATTTCTAAAAAGAAGCAGATATATAATACGAATTATAGCTTAAAAAAAGGTATTTATGAGATCTTAATTGAACAAATAAAAGTAACATCTATAGTAGAACTCGATCACATAAAAGAACTTATTTATGAAATTTCTTATTTAATATAAACTTTAATCTATTAAGCAAACTAAACTAATGTAAAATAATTTTCAACCAATAAAATATACTAAGATTGGAAGTAAATGTAGTACTCACCCACACTGGCATTCGTGGTTTGAAAATAGCCTTCCTGGATGGAGGAAGCTTGAAACTGGAACGGGATCATGATTCTGAGTTTGATGATGTTGCTCGTCAGCACATCAAGATTACGCTGACCAATCTGATCCTTTTCGTCCCAATTTTCTTGGAGATCTCTCAGGATACTACTAACATTGGCTTCAAGGGTTCGGACAGGTTTGAAAATCTCAGGTTCGAATTTTTTCAGTTTCTCAAATGCGCGGATCAAAGACTTGAGCTCGTCGCAGGCTTTATCAAGCGAATTAGGCTTGTCGGTGGTGGTGGACTTTGAATTCCCATCTTCGCCGTCTTTCAGGGGAGTGAAGATTTTGTCGAGTACTCCTTGGCCTTGGAAATCAGATTTGAATGCATGCAATTTAACCTTGCAACGATGACGTCAAGATTGCCTGCAATCGGATCATTTGCGTTGAGATCTTCTAGGACATTATTTTCTAGGGTTTGGACAGGTTTGGAAAGATCGGTTTCGAATATTTCCAGATCCTCAAACGCGCTGATCATAGACTTGAGCTCCTTGCAGGGTTCATCGAGCAAATTAGGCGCGGCGGCGGTGGGTTTTGGATCGCCATCTTTTTCGTCTCGAGGAGGAGTTAATGTAGAAGCCTTTGTGGGGTCATCCTTGGCCTTGGAAAGTTCTGAATGCAAGGTCTTTAACCTTTCAATGATTTGCTGGTCTTTGGGAGGATTAGGTGAAGACATGGCTCAAGAGAAATTTGTGAAATTATCGAATGATGAACTGGAACAAACGCCTCTTCTCCATTTATAATACTTTCTCAAACCCATGCATTTCGTTTCCTTCACTATAAGTAAGAAATATAATCTGTTCTTTATTCTTCACACACCATTTTTTTCTTTTTTCAATTTTCTTTTCTTTTTTACCCACTTGATTGATTTTTAAAAAATGAAATTTCGAGGTAATTATTTATTAAAATTTTAAGGAATCATTTAAATATTAAGAAAAATTATAAAAATATTTTTTAAAAATAAAAGAATTTAAGGGTTTTTTTCCTTCTATTTTTTTGATTTATTTGTATTTGAAAAACTCATTAATTAACAAAAACAAGTAGGTTGTAAATGCGACGAGACATATTATGTGCTACTCGAGTTTGATTCAGTCAAAGTTCGTTTAATACTCTAATTGAATAGACTCGACTTGAGCACGAACTCAACTCGAGTTTTTAACGAGTTGAAGGAGCTACTTGATACCCAAATCGAAAAGTTCATATGCAAATTGAAAAAAATAATATATTAAAATTTTAATTTCTTAGATGAAATTATTAATAATATTAACATTTATGTGTTGTTTTTTAATACAATATAAAGATTTTATGTACTTAATTTTCATGTTTGAGTTTGAGATTGATTTCGAGCTTGAACCAAACTCGAGTTTGAGCGTCAATCGAGTTAAGCCTGAGAATGTTTCGAGTTCAATTTTTTTGAGCTCGATTCGAGCTTTAATTTTTTATTTCGAGTTCGAGTCAAGCTTGACAATTTTAAGCTTGTGAACTTTAGAGTCGGACTTTAATTTTTTTTATTTCTAATTTGAGTCGAGCTTAACAATTTTAAGCTTGCGAGATTTCGAGTTGAGTCGAGCTCAACTTTAAACTTTTCGAGCCGAGTTTAGCTCAACTTTAAACTTTTCAAATCAAGTTGAGATTAATAATACTTAAACTTGATTCGACTTATTTACAACCCTAAAAACAAATAATTCAAAAATAATACTTTACATATTTAAAATAATCATTCATCTTTTCAAAAATACTTTATAATAATAATATTAAACATCATCAAATAATTAAAGAGTACATATCAAAAATATTTTCCAAAAACAATGTTAAATGGAGCCTAATTTAATTTTGAGTAGCTCTTATGCTGTCCAAAGTATATGTTCTTTTGCTTTTTATACTTTTACAAAAACTACAAGTTATTTTTATTCTAACTTGGCTTAATACAAAAATAAGTTACTAAAGTATGCTTGAAAAACATTTTAATACCTAAAGATTTTTTCGCTAAAAATATGTGTCTAAAGTTTTCTCCGTTACCATTTTAGGTGTCCAAACGTTAACCACCGTTAAAAAATCCGTTAAATGACACGTGTCATGTTATGATAATTTTGAAAAATTTTATTCAAAATAAAAATATACTTTTTTTAATAAAAAAACCCTAAAGAAATTTCAAATCTTAAAAAAATCCAAAACTTTTAAAGCTTTAATTTTAATCTCTTTGTCACCGTCAATCGCCACCAACACCGTCAATCGGTCGAACACCCAACGAAGTGTAACCGGCCAACAACCCAAGACCGGCCAACAACCCAAGACCGAACCCGACATACTTTCACAACCGATTGAACACCCAAAAATAATGTAAATGAAAGATTTTGTTTTAGTGTTTGTATTTTTTTTTTGAGAATTTTGATAAATTGAACGATTGTTTGTTGGGGAAATTGTTGGAGGTAGAATTAAGTTTTTTCTTTCTATTTTTTTGATTTATTTGTATTTGAGAAACTCATTAATTAACTAAAACAAGTAGGTTGCAAATGCGATGAGACATATTATGAGCTACTCGAGTTTGATATAGTTAAGACTCGTTTAATACTCTAATCGAATTGACTCGACTTGAGCTCAAACTCAACTCAAATTTTTAACGAGTCGAAGAGAGCTACTTCATACTCAAATCAAAAAGGTCGCAAGCTAATCGAAAAATAATATATTAAAATTTTAATTTCTTAAATGAAATTATTAAAAATATTAGAATTTATGTGTTGATTTTTAATACAATTTAAGGTTTTTTATGCTTTTAATGTTTATGTTTGAGTTTGAGTTTGACAATCAAGTTAAGTTTTAGAATGTTTCGAGTTCAAGTTTTTTCGAGCTCGATACGAGCTTTAATTTTTTATTTCGAGTTCGAGTCAAGTTTGTGAGCTTTCAAGTCGAACTTCAATTTTTTTATTTCGAGTTCGAGTCGAGCTTAACAATTTTAAGTTTGCAAGCATTCGATTTGAGTCTAGCTCAACTTTAAACTTTTCAAGTCGAGTCGAGTTCAATAATACTTAATTT